TGACTTCAACTGTGACGTCGCATTAAACACACCTGTTACTGTCAGACCTGACAATAAGCCATTATGTCTGGATTACGAAAAGCGACGCGAACGTTCGTTCTTTCAAGCCCCTAGAACTTCGAAACAAACCACGACTGTACTTTAGTAACCTTCCCTTTAAGTTTCATATGAATGTTTGAAACAAATAGCTACAACTCTTAGCGAAAAGAAAGTATCATTCACATTAAGATCTTGGGCCTCGTCTATCAGTCAACATTAACTTGCGCCCAAACTTTAAGCGTAAACGGGTTCAGCGTGGGATTTAACCTATTCAAAATTATGTTTCTCTTTTCCGAGGGCTAGATAATAATTCTTGAAGATGTGATTTTCCTTTCAGCTAGTTCTTCACGTACAACTTCGTTCCTGGGGTATATATACATGTATGTCTGGCTATTGTTTTCACATGTGCTCATCCAGCTTCAAGATTCCAAAGTTTCAGTCGTCTGATGAAGGAGTAAGAATATATTCCCAAACGCCGTGTTCCATCATCATACGGAAGTTGACATCCATAAATCCCCCCTTGGTGTATTTAACCCTAATAAAGACAGCGAGGATAAGAAGCTCCGCCCAGTCTCTGGACAGACGACAAATTCAGTAAATAGTGTATTGTGATAGGTTAATTAAAGTCATATTCAGAGGTCATTTTTTGATTTAATTAAAGTCATTTTTTATTTAAATCAAATTTAAAGCTATTATAATTTCGTTATATGCCTCTGATGTTTCCAACGCAGTGTGTTTATCTCCATTCTACCATAACCGCGTTATTACGAGTTTAAAAAGAAAATACATACTGTGTTGGAAAATCACAATCCAGTATTCACTGAAGTCTTGGTAGAATTAAAGTCATTCAGAGGTATATAATCACGTTATATACCTCTGGTTTTCTAACTCTTAGGAGATCATCATACTGTGTTGGAAAATCAGAGGTATATAACGATGTTATAATAACTCTGATTCTGATTTAAAACCGTGATGTTTTAAATAAAAAATGTAGAGCTATCATAATTTGGTTTAAACAATATTTATTCTTGTACTTCAGGCATGAGCAGTGGGATTGACAAACAGGGTTGCCCCAATATTAATGTCTCTCCACAAACAAATACATATTACAACAGGATATTTACATGAACAATTATTAAACATTCATGTAGAAAAGCATTGTGACATACTAGTAATTTCACATAAAACGTTTGCTTAGTGATATAAACTTATGAACGGATTGGATTATTTTTGTATTGATATGATTTGATAGGTTCTTACTGCTAAATAATACAGTGTTCAAGTTGTGACCATGGACATAAAAGTAGCTTACATGACGAATATCTGCATAATTTGGGCATATAAATAAGTAGTGATGTGCATCCTCATACGCACGACCACACGAACATCGTTAATCCTTGACAATAAATCTATCAAATTTATGACCACTGAAGCCATTATAATTTCGTTATACATATATCTCTGATTTTCCAACATAGTATGTTTATCTCCATTCTACCATAATCTCGTTATAAGGATATTGAATAATACATACTGTGTTGGAAAAGTCAGAGGTATATAGCGTGATTATATACCTCTGAGTGACTTTAATTAACCAATCACAATCCAGTATTTACTGATCGTCATGGTAGAATATAATGATGATACTCGAGAGAGAATATTTTTGGTTTTGAGGTTTATCAGATATGACATAGGCACAGTGATATATTTCATTATTGTTGTATTACCGTGATTGGTTTGGGAATATTGTTGTGTGACTGAATGACATATGTCATGTGGCTTTGTCAGGATTAACATGTACGAGCCAGTCGGAGAGGGAAGATAGATCGAACTTCAACGTTTGTTCCAAGTGGTTAGTTCTAACTGAGGATACACGGAGAGACATGTATAAACTCGTTTATACAGGATTCACAACGCTGTTCAGTGGGTAGAGGATGGTTATTAGCTTCAACGTTTAATTACCTATTGAAACAAGGTTAATCAATAAGAACTTCAGCATTGTCACTGTATGTACACACGGAATGATCCATGAAGCAGGCATTGGAATAAAGCAGGGCCTAGATTTTCGAAGCCCTCTCAGCGCTAAGTAGTCGTAAGTTTATGTTAATGTATGGCACTTACGACAAGCTTAGCGCTAAGAGAGCTTCGAAAATCTGGACCCAGGGCAATACATTTCGTATACATGCCTGCATTTTTATATAGCATATCAATAATTTTAAAAAAGTGTTTTTGTTATGATTCCCATGCGTGTCGAGTAGACCATATATGATTGTTTGCAATCAGCATATCACCAATATTACCGGTGCGTTCTAGGGGTGGGCGATAATACCGGTTAACCGGTGAATTGCAATTCGAACTTCACAATACGATATATTGCGGTACACTTTCAGCGAACCGGTTCACCCGATTCGATTGGTAATTTTCATGATGTCAAAACTACTAATAACACTACTTTGAATTCCCTTTATATTAGTATACATTATTAGTTTTGAGAATGTTTATTTGCATTTGCGTGACTTATAAACCATATAAATTTTAAAAATATAGATTGGTACCGGCACTACACTCGTTGTAAGGATAAACAAACCAAAATGGCGGACGCCACTGCAGACGCTTTTTCTCGAGTTCCAAACTTTAGAGCGAAGTCTTCAATTTGTAAACAGTTTTAAAGGATCTCTTGTACAATCGCATCTGAGTCCTGCCAGTGGCATTGTTTCAAAAGAAAGCAAACAATAATTTCATTACCTTAACCCATGTTTTATACTTTCACAATATATTGCAATAAATATTGCAATACGCCAACACATATCACAATATATCGCAATACATATTGCAATAAGCCAACACATATCACAATATATCGCAATACATACTGCAATACGCCAACACATATCACAATATATCGCAATACATATTACAATACGCCAACACATATCACAATATATCGCAATACATATTGCAATACGCCAACACATATCACAATATATCGCAATACGCCAACACATATCACAATATATCGCAATACATATTGCAATACGCCAACACATATCACAATATATCGCAATACATATTGCAATACGCCAACACATATCACAATATATCGCAATACATATTGCAATACGCCAACACATATCACAATATATCGCAATACGCCAACACATATCAAAATATATTGCAATACATATTGCAATACGCCAACACATATCACACAATATATCGCAATACAATATATTGCAATACATATTGCAATACACATATCACAATATATTGCAATACATATTGCAATACGCCAACACATATCACAATATATCGCAATACATTTTGCAATACGCCAACACATATCACAATATATTGCAATACGACATTTTGGCGATACAATATATCCAACATATTCTACATGCGTTGCAATAGGCGTCAATATGTCATAGCCAACACATATCACAATATATCGTGCAATGATAACACATATCACAATTGCAATGGGTTTGCCAGATGGTCATATCACAATATATATATTTTGCAATGCCAACACCGTGACATTTTGGCGATACCCAACTCTAGTTGATAGGCGTCATGGACGTTGAGGACCAGATGGTCTAATGATCACGTGATGTTGAATATTGCTGGAATATTGTGGGTGAGGCGTCAACCCCTTAATGAGTTATTTTCCAGGCGCACATTTTCATAAGGTTTGAAAAGTGAACGTTTTTTTATTTTTGTGCGAGAATTACGCTTGAATGGTCCTGGATCTACGTATAGAATTACACGGACATGATGAACAGTCAATTTCCTATCCCTTGGTATAAATTTAAGTGCAAATACGGATTGAAAAATTGATGCTGCTAAACGTTGTCCGAAATTTCGTTAAGCGCTAAAAAACTAATCGTCCAACGATAAAAGCACTGTGCGACGAGTTTTTTCAAATTTAGCATCTTTACGTGTGAGCGATCTGAACGACTAAATATATAGGGAATGGGGTTGTGTGCTCATGTATAACGTTACACGCTAAATCTTAAAAAAAGATTCGCAAAATGTCTCTTATTGGTATTTATAAGTATTTGTCGCAGCTGAGTGTGAAATATACGTGACGTAATAGGTGTCGCATGACCGTCCTTCGCGAAACGTGATTTTGTAAACACTATCTAATTTGGCGGAAAGCTCACTTTGGCGTTTGTGCTCGTGTTCGTGTCTTTTCCAAAACAACCGATTTGGGGTTCATAGCCTACGTTTCAGAATTGCCAGTGGTGATTTATAACAAACAGATATCAGTTATCATTAATATGCTATTTTTGAAATTGAATATTTCTTAGATATTATCCGTTTTTTACATTTCAAAATATACACCAAATACCGCTGTGAATCGCGAGTTCGCAATGTGTCAAAACTGGCGAAATTTACGAGCAAGCCTATTTTGATCAAGCCTATTCAGCACTTTAGCTTTGTCAAAGAAAATGACTACATCTGTCATTAATTGTGATATAATTCATACTTCAACCTTTTTGTTGATAAGAGATTGTAAACAGTTTTGTAAATGGTGAAAATAAATCAGACTTTTTAAAATTAATTTCTGGTCTGAACTGAGATTGTAAATATCAGCTCCCCGTATATAGACTGCCAGTATTTAATAATGACTAACTTCATACTTGCCACAATTATCGTGAGTAGAAAAAGATTTGGTGAAATTTTCTCTTGACACTGATCACTCTTTTTACAGATTCCCTGGAAACTAAGGAATCCAAAATGTAATATGGAATGGGTTTTTTAAAGTCATAGAACGTCTACGTATTGAGAAATATTTCACGATTGTCATATATTTCCATCTTAGACAAAGAAGTGGTTTCGTATTTTTCAATCGAATAAACGATTTGTATTGGTATTGCATGGGTGCATTTGTATAACTGATCATGTTTAGAGAATCTATGAGCCAAGAGAAGTGAGCTTTTATTATTAGTAGATCTTACCTCCAAGCATGTACTTGTCCTCTCTGCTAAAGAGCGATGGTAGCCCTGCTGTGAAACAACCTGTTCGTTGAGCAAGGAAAAGAGAAATGTGTTTGATAGAAAAATCTGTGAGACCGTGTCGCGAACACCGGAGCGGAACGACATAGTGGAAACTTCCACCTTTCGAGTTTACTGCAATACCGTGGTAAGCAAACCATGCAGCCAACAGTCGTTAATGATAAAAGAAATGCATCGAAACGTGAGCACAAGCATACTTGTTTTTCTACCATGGCTACGTGAAATGCTTGAATTTAATTGGTCAATCAATAAAATCAGACGGTATCGATTTTGGATTGACTCAATTACAAAAACAATACACAGCCCAAAACATAAACAAACAATATCTAACATACAAATCAGAAAACCTTGTAAATATACATCCCTATCTATCCCTATTTGTGAAGCAAAACGTTCGTAAGCATTTACCTACCTGGTAAATGGTATATTTGTTGCCGTTTAGAATGGGAAATTCTCAAGATAACGGTCAGGCTGGTTTCGGTCATGTGGAGTTATGATTATAAAAACCAAGCTCTTAGGTGTTACATTATTGCATTGAATAAACAGTTGTTCGTTTTCTTTGGACAGAATATTTTTTATGTTGCAATGTTAAAAAAAAATACGAACGGCACCTACCACTCCCTTCAGAGTCGAGTTCAATTCGCCTCTCGTCCAATGCCGGATTACGCAGTGTCTTCCGCAGGACGAGGAAGTTCGATTTTAAATCAGTTATGGTAGAATGGAGATAAACATACTGTGTTTGGAAATTAGATGAATGTTAGACCGAATTGATAGTCTCTAAATTTCATTTGAAGCCGAACGCGTAGCGTGGGACTGATTGGGGGTTGTGACTTTGTTTTTGAGGCCAAGAAATCTGATGGTGATTAATGGGCAGGTATTTTTGGATTGGTTCGAACATCAGGTTTTACCGAAGCTGGATGAACCAAGCGTTATCATTTTGGATAACGCCAGTTACCATAACCTGCGTGTCCGTGGTACCATCACACTCACCATGAGCAATCTCAAGGCTCGGTTGCAGGATTTTCCCACTTCCTGTAACGTGCCTTACAGGCAATCGGAAACAAAGCCCCAGCTGATGGAGAAAACCCGGCAGCACAAAAAGCCAATCCAGTACATCACTGACGAACTAGCTGCAAAACAAGGCCACATAGTTCTGCGTACACCAGTAAGGCACTGTGAGCTCAATCCCATCGAGCTGATCTGGGGTAACTGTAAGAATTTTATTGCTCACAATAATACCACATTCAAGCTTTAAAGAGCTTGTGTATGTTTGTTTTGCGAGAATTACCCCAGAAGTGTGGCAAGACCGTGTTCTCAAAATCGAGGGTGAATACCGTCTGCGGGACGGCGTTAACGCCAGCCGAGTTGTACCTGTTGTAATTCCGCTAGAGTCCTCGACCAGCAGTGACACTTGATATTTTGAGACGGTCCCTGACTTGTGCTGCCCGTGCGTTACATGAACGCTGTCACTCTGTCTGCCTGCCAGGTGGGTCACAGTATTGTTTGTTTCTTTGAAGTGTTTCTACCATGGAAGTTTTTCTAAGTTTTTCGATATTTTACGAGTAATCATTATGATTAGGGAATGGTACATCATGATTACTCATATGCAATATTAGGTCGAGGTGGTATGAATGATTATATATGAGTTTTGAATCTGAAATATCAATCATTATCAAATAATTGCCAAATCGCTGACTGACCAATGGGAACTTGAAATAATAAAACAAGAAAAGTACAACCACTGAATTAATTTCCGATTTGGATTGATACGGTTCAGAGTTATCAAAAACGATCCACGACACTAAACTCGAACTCGAACTCGTTCTTGTAGCCAATGTTCCTCATGTTTCAAGAATATTCCAGCCTTTGGTGTTTACTTTTCACAATGCCGTGAAACCACGTCATACATCGTTTTGTCAGATTTACAATATTCAGCATTCTTATGTGGAATCCGTGGTTTGTTATTCAACAAAAAGGACTACCTTTTCTGGTATCTAGTCTATATGTGAAGACATAGTTGACACTTCGATACTAACAGCAGCACAAACTGGCAAAATAGTTTCCTAATGTAGCAGGTCCGTTGGAATCTGTGCTTGGTAGCCAAGGTAACCAAACTCAGGATAGAACTCGTGGCACTTATTTTGGTGTGTCAGCGTCATGTGGAAGGAAAGCTCAAAGTGATACTGAACTCAGGTGTTTAGCATTTATTCGTGTAACAACCGGAGAGATTCACCTGTAAGAGTAATACTGACAACACCAACAACAACAACAACAACAACAACTGCGATGGAACTCCGGCCTCGTCATACGAAAAACGTACTTGTTGGTCCCTGCCTGGCGCACGGCATTAATGGGTACAAGGACTGGTCGGCTCGGAGTCAGTATAATGTGTCTGAGTGGGGTATTCATGCTTTACTGTGGCATGGTATCTCAGTGAGCTAGCACTATAAAGCCAGCTTAAGTCTGGGCTAGTACAAGCTGCCGAACATACACATACATGCACGTCGCCATATGAGCGAAATATTGTTAAGTGCGACGTTAAACCCAATTTTACCTCACACCCACATGCTATGGAACTGAAAAATGCCATTGTTAGAAAATGCTAATAGGCGCTGTGATTTTGCAGCAATGTATGCAAACAGGCGCACTCCTGTCTAAGCAAGTATAGAAATGGTTCACAGCATAACGGTCCACTTGATATTGAACGTCGTAACACATCATCATTGATCAGTAAAGCAAAGGCTTCTATGCTCAAGAGACATATATTTTGAATCAACGTGTTTTTGTACTTTAGGGAGCAATCAAGCGAGAAACACGACTTGACACGATGACACAGTGTCACCCACCCACTCACATCACTCGTCTCAATGGGTCACAAATAGATTGTCCTGGATAAAAGTACTAATGAACCTTAATTCGCATTGTAAAGCCAGGGACTGAAACGTTTATCGTCAAGTCAAGCTTAAGTGCTTCCAAACGTACAGAAACTCGTTGACTGAAAACGTTCTCGTACGCACAGTTACTGTAAATCGACAAAGTTTCCCGTCGTCAGTGTTTCGCGTGATCAACAACCAAGCCAGTTCTACGTCGTGATTGTTTTGCGAGTCCTCCTCTTGTAAAAACAAGTCGAATTGTTGACAATACACCGTATCGCTTCGCTGTGAACGAACATACAAGAAAAGACCAAAGACGTGCACACGCCCCCTACCGGTGATTTAGTTAAAACGTACTCGATAATATACCGAGATGAATTCTGATGCAGTGATCTTAAAAAGATAGTATCTGAAACTATTGTTTTATAAAGAGAAATATATTCTAGTATTGTGCCATTTTAATTGCAGGTTGTGCTCCATAAATGTAAAATATTTATGATCATAACTAAGGTTATGCGACAGTTTTTGGTGTATTGACGGATAGTTTTTATGCATGGAACAATTTAACCTGTCACCAATGAGGTTTCGCGCGATGTCGCTATTTCCACTGTGAAAGCACTTTGGTGAAATGTGATCGTCCAGCTACACTACTTGTGACTTTTGGGGAAATAAAATAGGTAATAATGCATATCCATTTACTGTCAACTACACTTCATTTCGAGACTTTTGTTGTCCCCCGCCGTGACATTGCTGGAATTTTGCTAAAAGAGGCGCAAAACCATACTCACTCACTCACTCACTCACTCACTCACTCATTTGGAGACATGAGTAGACGCAATATGTTAGTGATTGCTGTGAAGTAAGTACATTGTGTTAAGGAATATTACCGGTAGGCGAACATCTGGACTTATTGACATTGTTTGATCACGTAATTTACATGGGCTGGGAATAATTGATTAACAAAATGAGAGACGTCATTACGCCTGGAAAGTTTTGCGCCTGGAGTTCATTCGCAATACTAGCAAAACTTTCCTGCCCGCAAAACTTTGTCGATTTACAGTATTTGAAATCAAGATTTTTCCATCACAAGGGATAAATATTTTAATGTAATAAAAATTAAGGATCTTTTTTATAATGTTAATTATAACTTAATAATTGAATTTTCAAAGGAAATATATTTATTTGATAAAGTATAAATTAGTAGCTGCGGTTGTTAGTAGTTGTATCCTCAAAGGGAGTTAAAATATCGTAAAAATATTGTCCTCCTGAGAGCGTACGTAAGTCCAAACACTTTTAAAATTAAATTTAAACTTGCCAGAATTTTAAACGTAGTATTTTTGTTATTTTAAACTGTTTGCTAAACATTTCCTAGAATCGCCAGCGACTGAAGGGGTGGTGTAAATGCAACTAGGGTCCATGCAGGTAGCAAAAGCACTGTAAGTCCCCATGATCCCTGGTATGGTGATTTACCTTCAGTTGTTTGCGACCTATAGCTTGTTTTTATATGGTATTGTCTTCGTAAATAAAATAGATTTAGATTTCCATTCTAGTTTTGGACACCATCTGTGAGACTCTGTGATGACTGATTATTTCACATCTTTATTGTGTATGCAAAACATTTTTCGTCACTTTATGGCTGCAATATTGCCGAGGTGACGATAAATTTTAACTCACTCACTCACTATTTGAAATCAAGGGACATTTAGTGCTTTACTTGAAAACAAGAAGTGAATTCGACGCATCCAAGATCGACTGAATAGATGATGCACATACTATTATGACGAGTTGACATCAAGGGCTCCCACTCTCTTCAACACCCTAACCCCATCACCAAAGATTTACACAGGGAGAAGAGGGTCAGCGCATGTCCATTTGCACTTGAGGCTCACTTTTTCAGGTGAGGTGAAATTGGGTTTATCGTCGTGCTTGAGAATATTTCGCTCATATGACGACTTGCATGCGTATGTATGCTGCTTGTACTAGCCCAGACTTAAGCTGGTTTTATAGTGCTAGCCCACTGAGATACCATGCCACAGTGAAGCATGAATACCCCACTCAGACACATTATACTGACTCCGAGCCGACCAGTCCTTGTTGTACCCTTTAATGCCGAGCGCCAGACAGGGACCAACAAGTACCATATTTTAACGTCTTTTGGTATGACGCGGTCGGGGATCGAACCCGCGACCTTCCGCTCTCCGGGCGGACGCTCTAATCACTACACCACGGAGGCAGTCTCTCACTTTTTCAACATGGGTGAGTAGGTGTCTGTGCCACTGATCTTCATCGAGATCAATCGCCCTGGTTAAAAATCCTTCTCCTACTTTTGACTGAAAGGTCGCATAGCATAAATATTTTATGAGTTTTTTCTCCAAGGCATGGTTTTTGCTGCCACTGTTCCAGAAGGCCTTTGATTAATGGTCCAGAGATCAAAGACATTGAAGACGAATGACTATGTCATTATGACAACCAAGGAAGTAAAATGCTTACTGGAATGTTTTCACTGAATTGTATTGATCCGTTTACATAAAATATGATGAGTAAATGCTTTCACTTTGCACTTGAAAAGCAACACAAATACAATGTCGATCAGAAAGTGCTTCGTAGAAGGTAAAACCACATCAATACCACAGTTGGAGGGTCGATCACTCATTGCTGGTTTCTTGGGAGAACGACTTGGGTAGTGATAGCAGGTAGTGAGAACGACATGGATAGTGAGAGCAGGTGGGGGGAACGACTTGGGTAGTGACAGCAGGTGGGGAGAACGACTTGGGTAGTTACAGCAGGTAGTGAGAACGACTTGGGTAGTGACAGTAGATGGAGAGAATGACTCTCATAGTGACAGCAGGTGTAGAGAACGACTTGGGTAGTAAACATTTGGTGAGAAGGAGTTGGATAGTGACAGAAGGTGGTGAGAACGATATGTGTAGTGAGAGCGGCTAGTGAGAACGACATGGGTAGTGACAACAGGTGGCGAAAACGAGTGAGATAGTGGCAACAGGTGGGGAGAACGACTTGGGTAGTGACAACAGGTGGCGAAAACGAGTTAGATAGTGGCAACAGGTGGGGAGAACGACTTGGGTAGTGAGTCTAGTGACAGCAGGTAGTGAGGACGACATGTGTGGTGACAGCAAGTAGTGAGAACGACGTGGGTGGTGACAGCAGGTAGTGAGAAGGACTTGGGTGGTGACAGCAGGTAGTGAGAACGACTTGGGTGGTGAGAGCAGGTGGCGAGAGCGAGTTGGATACTGACAGCAGGTGGGGAGAACGACATGGGTAGTGACAGCAGGTAGTAAGAAGGTCTTGGGTAGTGACAGCAGGTAGTGAGAACGACTTGGGTGGTGACAGCTGGTAGCGAGAATGACTTGGGTAGTGACAGCAGCTAGTGAGAACGACATGTGTGGTGACATCAGGTAGTGAGAACGACTTGGGTAGTGACAACAGGTGGCGAAAACGAGTTGGATAGTGGCAACAGGTGGTGAGAACGATTGGGTAGTGAGTCTAGTGACAGCAGGTAGTGAGGACGACATGTGTGGTGACAGCAAGTAGTGAGAACGACGTGGGTGGTGACAGAAGGTTGAGAGAACGACTTGGGTAGTTACAGTAGGTGGCTAGAACGACTTGGGTAGTGACAGCGGCTAGTGAGAACGAACTGGGCGGTGACAGCAGGTAGTGAGAACGACTTGGGTGGTGACAGCAGGTGGCGAGAACGAGTTGAATAGTGGTAGTAGGTGGAGAGAACGAAATGGGTAGTGACAGCATGTGGAGATAACGGGTTGGGTAGTGACAGCAGGTAGTGAGAATGACTTGGGTGGTGACAGCAGGTAGTGAGAACGACGTGGGTGGTGACAGCAGGTAGTAAGAAGGACTTGGGTGGTGACAGCAGGTAGTGAGAACGACTTGGGTGGTGAGAGCAGGTGGCGAGAACGAGTTGGATACTGACAGCAGGTGGGGAGAACGACATGGGTAGTGACAGCAGGTAGTAAGAAGGACTTGGGTAGTGACAGCAGGTAGTGAGAACGACTTTTGTAGTGACAGCAGGTGGAGAGAACGACTTGGGTAGTGACAGCAGGTAGTGAGAACTACTTTGGTAGTGACAGTAGATGGAGAGAATGACTCTCATAGTGACAGCAGGTGTAGAGAACGACTTGGGTAGTAAACATTTGGTGAGAAGGAGTTGGATAGTGACAGAAGGTGGTGAGAACGATATGTGTAGTGAGAGCGGCTAGTGAGAACGACATGGGTAGTGACAACAGGTGGCGAAAACGAGTTAGATAGTGGCAACAGGTGGGGAGAACGACTTGGGTAGTGACAACAGGTGGCGAAAAGGAGTTAGATGGTGGCAACAGGTGGGGAGAACGACTTGGGTAGTGAGTCTAGTGACAGCAGGTAGTGAGGACGACTTGTGTTGTGACAGCAAGTAGTGAGAACGACGTGGGTGGTGACAGCAGGTAGTGAGAACGACTTGGGTGGTGACAGCAGGTAGTGAGAACGACTTGGGTGGTGAGAGCAGGTGGCGAGAGCGAGTTGGATACTGACAGCAGGTGGGGAGAACGACATGGGTAGTGACAGCAGGTAGTAAGAAGGACTTGGGTAGTGACAGCAGGTAGTGAGAACGACTTGGGTGGTGACAGCTGGTAGCGAGAATGACTTGGGTAGTGACAGCAGCTAGTGAGAACGACATGTGTGGTAACATCAGATAGTGAGAACGACTTGGGTAGTGACAACAGGTGGCGAAAACGAGTTAGATAGTGGCAACAGGTGGGGAGAACGACTTGGGTAGTGAGTCTAGTGACAGCAGGTAGTGAGGACGACATGTGTGGTGACAGCAAGTAGTGAGAACGACGTGGGTGGTGACAGAAGGTTGAGAGAACGACTTGGGTAGTTACAGTAGGTGGCTAGAACGACTTGGGTAGTGACAGCGGCTAGTGAGAACGAACTGGGCGGTGACAGCAGTAGTAGTGAGAACGACTTGGGTGGTGACAGCAGGTGGTGAGAACGGTTGAATAGTGGTAGTAGGTGGAGAGAACGAAATGGGTAGTGACAGCATGTGGAGATAACGGGTTGGGTAGTGACAGCAGGTAGTGAGAATGACTTGGGTGGTGACAGCAGGTAGTGAGAACGACGTGGGTGGTGACAGCAGGTAGTAAGAAGGACTTGGGTGGTGACAGCAGGTAGTGAGAACGACTTGGGTGGTGAGAGCAGGTGGCGAGAACGAGTTGGATACTGACAGCAGGTGGGGAGAACGACATGGGTAGTGACAGCAGGTAGTAAGAAGGTCTTGGGTAGTGACAGCAGGTAGTGAGAACGACTTGGGTGGTGACAGCTGGTAGCGAGAACGACGTGGGTAGTGACAGCAGCTAGTGAGAACGACATGTGTGGTGACATCAGGTAGTGAGAACGACTTGGGTAGTGACAACAGGTGGCGAAAACGAGTTAGATAGTGGCAACAGGTGGGGAGAACGACTTGGGTAGTGAGTCTAGTGACAGCAGGTAGTGAGGACGACATGTGTGGTGACAGCAAGTAGTGAGAACGACGTGGGTGGTGACAGAAGGTTGAGAGAACGACTTGGGTAGTTACAGTAGGTGGCTAGAACGACTTGGGTAGTGACAGCGGCTAGTGAGAACGAACTGGGCGGTGACAGCAGGTAGTGAGAACGACTTGGGTGGTGACAGCAGGTGGCGAGAACGAGTTGAATAGTGGTAGTAGGTGGAGAAAACGGGTTGGGTAGTGACAGCATGTGGAGATAACGGGTTGGGTAGTGACAGCAGGTAGTGAGAATGACTTGGGTGGTGACAGCAGGTAGTGAGAACGACGTGGGTGGTGACGGCAGGTAGTAAGAAGGACTTGGGTGGTGACAGCAGGTAGTGAGAACGACTTGGGTGGTGAGAGCAGGTGGCGAGAACGAGTTGGATACTGACAGCAGGTGGGGAGAACGACATGGGTAGTGACAGCAGGTAGTAAGAAGGACTTGGGTAGTGACAGTAGGTAGTAAGAAGGACTTGGGTAGTGACAGCAGGTAGTGAGAACGACTTGGGTGGTGACAGCTGGTAGCGAGAACGACTTGGGTAGTGACAGCAGCTAGTGAGAACGACATGTGTGGTGACATCAGGTAGTGAGAACGACTTGGGTAGTGACAACAGGTGGCGAAAACGAGTTAGATAGTGGCAACAGGTGGGGAGAACGACTTGGGTAGTGAGTCTAGTGACAACAGGTAGTGAGGACGACATGTGTGGTGACAGCAAGTAGTGAGAACGACGTGGGTGGTGACAGAAGGTTGAGAGAACGACTTGGGTAGTTACAGTAGGTGGCTAGAACGACTTGGGTAGTGACAGCGGCTAGTGAGAACGAACTGGGCGGTGACAGCAGGTAGTGAGAACGACTTGGGTGGTGACAGCAGGTGGCGAGAACGAGTTGAATAGTGGTAGTAGGTGGAGAGAACGAAATGGGTAGTGACAGCATGTGGAGATAACGGGTTGGGTAGTGACAGCAGGTAGTGAGAATGACTTGGGTGGTGACAGCAGGTAGTGAGAACGACGTGGGTGGTGACAGCAGGTAGTAAGAAGGACTTGGGTGGTGACAGCAGGTAGTGAGAACGACTTGGGTGGTGAGAGCAGGTGGCGAGAACGAGTTGGATACTGACAGCAGGTGGGGAGAACGACATGGGTAGTGACAGCAGGTAGTAAGAAGGACTTGGGTAGTGACAGCAGGTAGTGAGAACGACTTGGGTGGTGACAGCAGCTAGTGAGAACGACATGTGTAGTGACATCAGGTAGTGAGAACGACTTGGGTAGTTACAGTAGGTGGCTAGAACGACTTGGGTAGTGACAGCGGCTAGTGAGAACGAACTGGGCGGTGACAGCAGGTAGTGAGAACGACTTGGGTGGTGACAGCAGGTGGCGAGAACGAGTTGAATAGTGGTAGTAGGTGGAGAGAACGAAATGGGTAGTGACAGCATGTGGAGATAACGGGTTGGGTAGTGACAGCAGGTAGTGAGAATGACTTGGGTGGTGACAGCAGGTAGTGAGGACGACATGGGTAGTGACAGTGAGTGAGTTTAGTTTTACGCCGCACTCAGCAATATTCCAGCTATATGGCGGCGGTCTGTAAATAATCGAGTCTGGACCAGAAAATTCAGTGATTAACAGCATAAGTATCGATCTGCGCAACTGGGAACCGATGACATGTATCAACCAAGTCAGCGAGCCTGACCACCCGATCCCGCTAGTCGCCTTTTACGACAAGCATAGTCGCCTTTTGTGGCAAGCATGGGTTGCTGAAGACCTATTCTACCCCTGATCTTCACGGGTCGGGTAGTGACAGCAGGTGGTGAGAACGATTTGGGTAGTGACAGCAGGTGGGGAAAACGACATGTGTGATCACAGCACGTAGGTAGAACGACTTGGGTAGCGACAGCAGGTAGTGACAGCAGGTAGTGAGAACGACTTGGGTAGTTACATCAGGTAGTGAGAACGACATGGGTAGTGACAGCAGGTGAAGAGAACGAGTTGGATAGTGATAACAGGTGATGGGAACGACTTGGGTAGTGACAGCGGCTAGTGAGCATGACATGGGTAGTGACAGCAGGTAGTGAGAACGACTCAGGTAGTGACAGCAGGTGGCGAGAACGACTTGGGTAGTGACAGCAGGTGGCGAGAACGGATTATGTTTAAACTAAGATGTAGGAGAATATGCGGCAACATAAAACTGTGGCTTTTAACAGTGGCAGTAGATGTTGGTCATAACGGAGATAACCCCAAGTCTGATGCTGCCAATGTGACAAGTGTTGCCGTAGTTATGGTCAAAACGCGAAATTCTAAATTGAATCCGGTTGCGAGTGGAGCATATTCAGAACAGGTGAAAGGTGTTCTTCACGGCAGTTACGAGTAACAACTCGAACAGAATTCCTTGAAGATCACCAAACAGGTTACCTGTGTGCTTAAACAATAAACTGCAACAACCATCCTCATTAATCAAGTTTGGACAAACTGTTAATGAGCAAAAACGCGACCAATTACACTGACAGTTGCCGATGATAATCTATCCTCTTCACTGGAGTTTTTTGTGCTTCATAGTTCATGGCCTTT